ATATATATATATATATATATATATATATATATATATATAGTGTGTGCTGTGGATTTTCATTTAAAAGCTTATCATCCTTCTTTTTTTCTTTGCCTTCATCCCTGTCCTTCGTTCCTCTTCTCACCAGCTAACTTCTCCATCCATCCCTTCCAATCCCTCCTCCTCCCAAACATCACATCCTATCCCAATTCAGTGCTCCCTCTCTCTCTCTCTCTTTTATCTCCCCCTATCTCTCACTTTCTCCCCTTCATCTCACCTCCAGCTAGCCGGAGCGCCCTCCTCCCTCTCCTCCTTTTCCTCTTGGATCGTTCAGCCTGCCTGCTCTAGTCCACTTTTCTCTCTCTCTCTCTGCTGTTCCTTATCATTCTTTTCCACCCTTTCAATCTTTCTCTCTGTCCTTCACTTCTCTTCAGCTGCCAGAAGCTCTCAAGCTCATCGCTCTCTTTCTCCAACTACTGACGGTTCAGAGGAGCTCCGGACAGAGACCTACAAACAGAAGGTAAGAGTGTCTCTGAGTTGATGTGAGAGTGTCTGCTTTGGTCATTCACCTTACCTGCATTGGCAGCTGATTGAGGACACAGGTGTGATGTTGAGGGAGAAAAATAATCACTTTCTGCATGAGCTGGTAGGAAATCTGTGAGGAAAATGTGCAAAAAGAGGCAAAAAGCAGCAGTTGAGGATGCTGATGATGTGTCTGAGAACAGCACAGAATATAAACTGATTGACTGCAGCAGTCCTGCAGTAAAAAGGACAATCGGAGATTCTTCAAAGTAGAGAGAAACAAAAGAAGACTATGAAAATGGTTTGAAGAGCAGGGACCAGAAACATTTTGAAGAGAAAATTAAAAGAAGAGACGTGTTTGCTGATATTTGCCTGCTGTAGCATCTGCTTGGCCACAAATGCTCCGGAGCCTGCCTCCTCCTCCTCCTGCTCCTCCTGCTCACCCGTAACAATCCCATTCACAAACTGGAGTAGAGAACAAGCTGAGGTGATTGGTTCCCTGAATGCTGTGGGTGCTTCGCTGAGCGTCTGTAGGAAGCGATCAGGAGGAGAGAGGGAGAGAAAACTCATTACATTCCTGTGATCTTTAAAAAGAAGGCTTGAATGAAACTGCAGCTCCTTGTACATGAACACAACCTGCTGACCAGCACAGTGCTGCAGTGATGGGGAGGAACGATCACGTGACGGACAGATGTGGACACAGACTGACGCTCGTGTCAGGGTTTGACCCCGCATTCAAACTTTGTCTCTCCTCTTGCATCACAAACTCACTCCTGAACGTTGCCTCTCTGCTTCTGTCACATCACACTTCAACCTCTCTGACACCACCAGGTACTGTAGATTAACAGCTGTCCAAACGACGACGCTCTCCGGTCGCTGGCCAATTACAAAGTGATGTTTTTTTGGAAGGTGGAGAGGTATCATTGATGTCCTAAACCCTGTTTGTTCTATTTTAAAACAGAAATTTGCAGATGCATTTGCACTTTTTCTAATAAAAGCAAACTGAGATTTTTAAATACGCTGTTCACGGTGTCCCCGTGTGAACCGAAGATATGAAGCTTTTTCAGAAACAATGACGTAGCAGCTGGTTTTACAGAAGCCTATTGTTACTTTGTGCCCTAAAACCCAAAACAACAATGGAGCTGATTTGAGTTTTGTTTTTGTTAATATCTATCTCCTAATCCAATGAACCATACGAGATAATATTTGATCGGAGGAAGGCAAGTCTGTCATTGGAAAGTCATTCAGTAAATTTCTGTTACAACCCATAGTTACAACTTAAACTTAAAGCCATACAGTCAGGGAAAATGAATTTAAAGCTAAATGTAAAGTACACTGGTGAATGTTTTCTGTGGCACACAGTGGCCTGAAAGATGTGCTGCAGTTTGAATGCCAGAACAATGAAAGACCAAAGAACATCTCAGGTCTTCATTTCCCAACCATCCCCTGAGGCTAATATGGTAATCTGTTAGATCTTTAACCTCCTCTATGTTTTTCTGATTAAATCCATTAGAAGTCATATGTGGCTGCTTATTTATTAACAATCAGCTTTAGATGGACATACCATTATATGTACTGTAAATTAATGATGTCGCATAACTTTCTCTAAAACTGATTTTCTGCATAAATAGTGTTTGCGACATGAATGAACAGCTATAATGAATTATTATGAATAATAATAATTTGTTATATTTATAAGTATATTAATAAATTACCAGAATGCAACTCTAAAAATGGATGAATGAATGAAACAGTTATGTAAATTTAATAAATTTACACATGTTAATTATATCATCAATGTGAAAAATAGCAGGTTTGAACTATAAATTGAATTCTCGTCGTTTATTACAATTATGAAATTTCACTGAGTTCATTTGTTAAATTTATTATCATTTAGCGATAAGTAAAATTCACATCTTTCGATTTGTTTTTATGTTAGTTGATAGAAAAGCACTTCAAATATGAAGTATGAATTGCAATATTTTTAGTTGACGTTTTATCCTGCTGCAGATATTTGTGATTGTATGCTGAAATTTTGACTAATTGAGATGAAATTTTAAACAATGCCTAAAAAACAACAACCATCAAACAAACAAAACAAGTTATGATTGTTTTAGAAGATTTTTTCATCCTAGCTAAAAATGCCTTTTACAGTATATCGCTCTTTTGATGTTGGTTATGTGGATGTTCTCGCCCCCTAGTGGCATGATATAAGTACTGCATGATTTTTGTTAGAACGTTTTTGAGAATAATTTTTTATGAACTCTAACATTTTTCAGTCAGGTCATCTGGACAGTTTCTTTTTTTTGAGCTGAAACGTTTCGCCTTCGATCCAGAAGGCTTCATCCGTCAAAGAAACACACAACACAAAACTGATTCATCCCCCAACTGGTTACTCCAAAGTGGAACAAACCAGTTATGTTGGTGCTAAGATGGTCTCTTTGTCACGCCCCTCATCCATTGCCGGCGTGGGGTGTGACAAAGAGACCATCTTAGCACCTACATAACTGGTTTGTTCCAATTTGAAGTAACCAGTTGGGGGATGAATCAGTTTTGTGTTGTGTGTTTCCTTGACTGATGAAGCCTTCTGGATCGAAGGCGAAACGTTTCAGCTCAAAAAAAAGAAACTGTCCAGATGACCTGACTGAAAAATGTTGGATTTTATATCTGGATTATTGAGCATGGACTTTGTTGTTTTTTATGAACTGCAAAAATTAAATTAGTTAAAAAATATTTGTTGAAGTCTAAACTCAGCCTTAGACCCGAAGTGAAGGTAATTTATGTTGAATCAATGGAGATAAGCGACTACGAGAACTGAACATTGCTTCAAAAGTGTGTGTGTGTGTGCGTGTGTGTGTGTGTGTGTGTGGGGGGTATATATACTGTAGCTGGGATTTTTTTAATGAGTATGCAAAACTACAAAGTAGAAAATGGACAAAATGTGCAGTGTGGATTAAAAAAAAAAATCAAGGAGGGAATGTGGACAATGAAACAAAAAATGTAAAACGTTCTCAGACCCAGAGTAAAAGAAGCAGAGCTGCAAAAGTCTAAATTACATCTCAGGTGTTTCATGAATCCAACCAAGGCATTTGAAAATCTTTAGACGGTGAAGGAAAAAGGGATAATTTCAAACCAAGGAAACGTGCAAAAAAAAAGACCTTGAAAAGGCCTTGAAAGAAACATTAGATATCATAAATCCAGTCCAATCCAACTTTATTTATAAAGCACTTAAAAAAAAACATACAGGACCAAAGCGCAGTTAAAAAGCCCAAAATGAATAAAATATTAAAAAAAAATGATTAAAAAGACATAAACAGCTATGCAATTACAAGAAATAAAATTAAAACAATTAAAGGAGAATCAAATAAACAAGTAACAATGAATTCAACATCTCACATGGTGTCAAAAGCCTGGGAATAATGATAAGTTTTAAGACGGGATTTAAAAACAGTGACGAGACCTGTCTGATGTGGAGAGGCAGACCGTTCCATAATTTAGATTCTGCGTTACAGCAACCAAACTTATGAAACAAACAAACAAATAAACAAACACCTAGTTGTTTCATTTACCGGGTATGCAGATTTTAAATTGTGTTGTGATGAGAGGAGGCAAATATGTCAAAGTAACAGCGACATGGCTTAACCGTACGGTAAAATGTGGACACATTTTTCTAAAAAGAAGCTACAAAGTTGCTAATTTCTCCTCTTTACCACTCACCCAGCACACACACGCTTTGCCCCACTCCCCTCAGGTAGGAGGTTGTGGAGCATTAAGTGTAGAACCACTGGACTGAGGAACAGCTTCTACCCTGAAGCTGTTAGACTCATGAACATGTAATCAGGAAAATCACTGTAACCCACTTTACATGGACATTTGACACTTTATCTGTGCTGCTGATTATCCATGCTGCTGATTTCTTACCCATAAGCAGCTGTATTCATACCCATCTGCTCACAACAGGCTCATGTTCAGGCTGCTGTTTAATGCACCGTATTATATTATTATTGTTTAGCGTATATCTTAGAACATTGTACCGTAACTAGGACCTTGAGTACACAATTTTGTTCCACCTCATGTGGAACATGTGATGACAATAAAGTCACCTTGAACCTTGAACCTTCACCCAAAACCCACCCAGGAGATATTTACAGTGACCATCCAGTTTTCTTCTGTTAGGCTCTTTTGCTCTAAACCTGCACATGAAATACATCAATACTTCCCCGTTAGATATAAAAGTCAAACTTGATGCATGTTAAAATGTCTTCTAATGATTTCTGGTGAACTCATTGATTTAACAAGGTTGGAGCTCTGAGAAGTGCGACATGCACGAGAGTGAAATAACTTTCCCAAGGGAGCAGACCTCCTTGTTTAGTTGTGGACTCGACAGAGAGAAAGACTGGGTTTGTCTTAGTGTGAGATGAGACAAGACGGACGAACACCTGACATTAAAGGGATTGTTCACATCTTTTGAAGAAGGGTTCTGTGGAAAGGTTATGAACAAACAACATATTACCTGCTGTAGACAGCTCTTTGAACGTTTTGAAAAAAGTTTCATTCTGTTAGAACTGAAAAGATTTAGAAAACCACACTACTAAAGACTGTTTTTATTTGGGATTAGAATGTGTCTTTATTTATGTTTATAATGACCACAGTAATCCACTTTTCTCTGTTTCAATTGAAATGAATGAAGCACTGTGCAAAAGTCTTGAGGCAACTCTAATTTCTTTAAAAGCTGATTAAAATGAAGCCAGACTTTCTTGAAATGTGGTTGTCCAGGCTTTCTAAAAGTCAGTAAAACTTTTTCTTTGGACTTTGGGCCTGCATACTCTGCACCAATTTCCAGTTCAGAGTGGATTTTAAACATCTTTGCTGGTTTTGGATAGATTCTTCTGAAGAAAATAATAAATGCAAAAATGCCACACACTGATCTCTGGCTCAGACTAGCTAGCTGCTAGTTTCGATTCACAAACAGGTTTTCAAATGTAAACATTTCAAACT